GGCGCTGGCGGAGCAGGGCCCGGCTGCCACTGCTGCCCTCGCCTGGCACCTTCCAAGCCCCGACGGGGTTGTGCCGGCCACTGTCAATTACTATGTGACCCCTGTGCAGCCTCTGCTGGCTCGAGCCCACTCCTATCCCACCTGGCTGCCTTGTAACTGACTCGGACCCTGGCCGGAAGGGAAGGGACTGGGCCTAACAGCATGGGGTGGGGCCTCGAGGAATTTGTGGAGGACATAACCAGAGACAGGCAGCCTGTGCCAGGTGGCCCAGCACTGCTGCAGGGTTGGGCCTTCAATGGAACAGACCAGACTTCCCCGAATGAGGCCCCTGTGGGCTTAAGGGCAAACTGGGGTTCTCGGCAGGAGGACCCCTTGGTGGCAGTACCACACTTTGGGACCAGCATGATTGTGGGTGCAGAGGCTGTTTGTCTTGAGAATCAATTGCCCTCAGGAGACAAAGCAATTTGTGGTGGCAGCCTCAGTGCCCACACCTCGGGTTGATTTCCATGGCCTAAAAGGGTCTTTTTGACTAGAGCCAGCGCACAGTGATCCCAGCAGCCTCCGAGGGCCTGCAGCCCACACACTGGCTAAAATATGGTATGTTATGGGGATTACTCACTTTGGGTCAGGCTGGGCCACTAACAGGGCCTGGTGGTCCAAACTGGCTCATCACTGAGGAGGAGAATGGAGGCACCAGGCAGATATCTGGGTTTGGGAAGGGGTGGGGTCTCCTGAAACCCACACCCCAAGCTGTGAAGTGAGGTGTACCACGTACAGGAGCCCAGCAGCCCAGGTGGGCCACAGCCCAGGCTCCTTCTAGTGTGTCACTCCCTTCCCTTGTGTTGTGAGGAGCCCTGCTATTTGCAGTTTGTTCTTTGGAGGGTGCTGGGCCCAAATTTGTCACAGTAAAGTCAAGTGCACCCACCCTACTGGCTTGGTGACAAGCTCTCAGATGGGGGAAGGGAGCCACCCCCTACCTCCTTCTCTATCCCTCTGGATTTGTTGCTGTTTTGCACTCTCAACACCTGCCAATAAAGATTGTCCACACTGTGCCTGGCGCCATGCTTTCTCCCAGGAGGATGACCTTCCATGGCTATGGGGGCTGCAGCTGCCTCCACAAGTCTGAGCGTGACTTGTGTTGTAGGAGGGGACATTTGTGAGGGGGGTTGAAGCCTGGGCTGTGGCTGGGGAAATGGCCCCCCTTCCCTCCACACCAGCCTCAGCCTGACAACCGTATACTGGGAGCTCATGACTACACGTGTGACTTGTACCTGCACACTGCCTCAGCAGGCCTAGGACTCTTGTTAAAGAGTAAATATTTCAATGTCTTCTACCTAGAATAGCTCTGGCCCGGCCTTATACTCCAGTGCTCAGGGCTGCTTGACCACAGCTCTGCTCACCCCATCTCTGCACAGGGGGAAGCTGAAGAATAAGCTGGCTGAATCTGGACTGGAGGCCTATCTAGTAATGGCTGCTGCAACTGGGGGACTTCTAGGGTCCCCCAGAGCCTGAGCCCAGGTAAGGTCACTCTACCTGGAGAGATTCCCTAACTCCTGCAGCTCCCTCTCTCACCCCGAAGTAACAGGTATGTCCTGACTTGCTCTAAGCAGATGCCCTGGGGGGACAGGGTCTCTTCAAACCCAGTTGGGGCCATGCCAGGCTGTCTGGGAGTGTCAGCCACAAGCTCCTAGGGAGCTGTTCCCTCAGGGCACTGGCCAGTCATGGCCTGGACGCTGCTCACTGTTTACCCAGCCTCTTTGATCCAGGGATTGCAAAGCCCTTAACAGATTCAGCCTCATTAGGGTCCTCTGAAGTGGTGACTTTGATGGTTCCAGCCAGAATAAACAAGGCCACAGAGGAGGCCCCAGGTCACCAGGGTGAATCCAGTCACCTTACCTGCTCTGTGGGTCCCTGCTGGGTGCCCTGAGATCTGTTGCTGGGCTCAAAATGGCTAGAAGGGCTGGTGGAAAGGCTTCCTTTATTTGGTGACTGAAAACAGTCTCCCACCCCAATCCCAGCTATGCCCTCCCAACTAGGTCCTGGGAAGGACTAAGTCTGTCCCACCACCTGAGCTGGCCATTGGAACCTTGGTGTGAGGGCATACACAGTGTAAACACACTAGGCGTGGCTGTTGGGCTGGGGAGTGGGTTCCCCTGGATGTGCTTGTTTTAGGGGGTGAAAACTCAGCCATGTGAGACATGTGCACATACACTGCAGTTATCCCACCATGTGCCAGATGCCATTCAGGGGTTGGGAATGCATCAGCAAACAAGAGTCAGAGATCCCTATCCTTGTGAAAATTACATTGTAATGGGGTAGACAGAAATCAAATTACATGGTCTTAGAAAGTCAGTGATATGTAAAAATTTATACAGCAGGGAAAGAGATTGGAAGTGCTGGGCTTTGCACATTTAAAGAGAAATCAAGGCCGGGCGCGGTGGCTCACGCCTGTAATCCTAGCTCTCTGGGAGGCCGAGGCGGGCGGATTGCTCAAGGTCAGGAGTTCAAAACCAGCCTGAGCAAGAGCGAGACCCCGTCTCTACTATAAATAGAAAGAAACTAATTGGCCAACTGATATATATATAAAAAATTAGCCGGGCATGGTGGCGCATGCCTGTAGTCCCAGCTACTCGGGAGGCTGAGACAGAAGGATCGCTCGAGCCCAGGAGTTTGAGGTTGCTGTGAGCTAGGCTGATGCCACGGCACTCACACTAGCCTGGGCAACAAAGCGAGACTCTGTCTCAAAAAAAAAAAATAAATAAAGAGAAATCAGGGTGCACCTCATTGGAAGGTGAAGGGAAGTGAGCCATGCAGACATCTAGGGAAAGAGCTTTCCAGGCCCAGCCAACTTGCCTGTGAATGTACACGTCTGGCTGGCCTCATGCGGGCATGTGTGCTTACTGTGCTGATTTGCACACACACACAGGCGTGAGGAATTAGGAGTATGTGAGACCAGAGTTCACAGTACTAGCCCCATTCCTGGCATGCTTAACTCCAGATCAGCCACTATGTCAAGGTCTTCCCGATCATGATTTTTTTTTTTTTTTTTTTTTTTGAGACGAAGTCTCACTCTGTTGCCCTGGATAGAATGCTGTGGCGTCAGCCTCGCTCACAGCAACCTCAAACTCCTGGGCTCAAGCAATCCTGCTGCCTCAGCCTCCCGAGTAGCTGGGACTACAGGTGAGCACCACCATGCCCAGCCAATTTTTTCTATTTTTAGTTGTCCAGCTAATTTTTTCTATTTTTAGTAGAGACAGGGTCTCACTCTCTTGCTCAGGCTAGTCTCGAACTCCTGACCTCAAGTGATCCTCCCACCCTGGCCTCCCAATGTGCTAGGATTACAGACGTGAGACACCACCCCCGGCCATGATCTCCCATTTCATCCTCACAAAAGGACCACACGAGAGAAGTGTTATTTTCATCTTACAAACATGGAAACAGACCAGAAAGGTCAAAGAGGTTTTTCTGATCCCAAGAGCCATTGCTGTTAGCCCCTTCACTATCCTGCCCCCACACTGTGATTTCACAGGATGGTCATGACAGTAATCTCCTGTACATATTTGTGACAACAGGGCATATTTGACATTACTGTGACATTTGTCATTTTATATACTATGGCAGAGTGTAACAGTGTGCCAAGACGTACATTTTCTTGATGGACATGGACACTAGCCATGGTTTGTGGTGACTGGGGCCCAATGGCAGTAAAAGCATGCCTCTGAGTGTGTTTGGGAGTGGTGCAGTGCTTCCAAGTGTTAAAAAAACACTGACTCAGTGGCTGACATTGTTCCTCTCACGGACAATTCCTGTAGCCATCTAAGTCACTGGGACAGGCAGCAGTCAGAAACTTGGAATGACAACCAGCAAGGGGAAGGCTGGGAGGAAAACCCTGTCCTCCACCTACCAACCCCATGGTGCTCTCCAAGCCACAATCCACCCATGTCTTCTGGTGTGGAGAGAGCTCCTGAGGGGGAAGCAGCATTGCTGTGGACTCTGGGGAAAAAGACACACCCCAGGCAGTTACATGATATGCCGGCCCCTCTAGATCCACTCTTCCCCCTTCTGCCTGCTCTGGGTGCTGGGGAGGCTGACATCTAGGGACTCTGCATCAATGGCTCTCTTGTTCCCTGACTTCCTTGTTAGGTCTGCCAATGAGAGGCCTCAGCAGGAGACTGAGGGGGGAGGAGGAGGTGATTATTCTTCTCGCTCCCTCTCCACCAGGCTGTCATGGTTGGCTACCCACGCCCAAAGGCCACTGAGCCTGTCAGGGGCCCTCTCCACAAGCTCCCTTCCCCCATTCCTTCAGGCCCAGCAGTTGTAAAGGCTTCCCACTGTTGTCAGCCCCAGAAAGCTGCACCATGTCAGCCCACACCCTTGGATATAGTCCCTTTTTTTTTATTTTTGAGTCAGAGTCTCACTCTGTTGCCTGGGCTAGAGTGCCGTGGCGTCAGCCTAGCTCACAGCAACCTCAAACTCCTGGGCTCAAGTGATCCTCCTGCCTCAGCCTCCCCATTAGCTGGGACTACAGGTGCATACCACCATGCCTGGCTAGTTTTTCCTATTTTTAATTGCCTAGCTTATTTTTTTTTTTCTATTTTTAGTAGTGTGGGTCTTGCACTTGCTCAGGCTGCATAGTCCCTTTTTAAAACTCCTCCCAGTTCAACTGTGCCAGGTCTCCTGCTGAGACCCTGACTGACAAACAGGTCTGTACAGTCACCAACACAGTCACAATCCCCACTGGCCACCGTGCTGCCATGTCACCAATGTGCACAACCTCCCTCAGTGTCACACAGTCTCACATCCCTGAACTTCCTCATCTCATTCTTTAATGGGGAAGACTTCCTGTGGAGGGGATCAGCTGTGAGCCAGGCCAAGGGAGAAATCACTCTGCAACCAGTCAACAGGTCCAGATTGCCAAACGAAACTAACCAGAAGCCGAGGAGGAACTGTCAAAGAGCTGTGACAGATACAAAGGAAAGGCAGCAAGGACACTTGCAAAGTCAGCTTCAGAACCACATGCATTTGCCTCATATTATTGCAATTTATTCTTCCTGAATGTAGAAATCAAGGGACTGATTCAATATGCATTCACTTTGCAGAATTCTACAAGTTCTGGGTTGTGTGTGAGTAAATGTGCCCCCCTTCCCTCTATTATCAGGATATTTGAATAAATGTTTCTTTTTCATTTAAAACTTTGCTTAGTTATATGTTGCCACCACCTCTTCCTGAGAAAGAGGTGTGTCCCCCACCAGGAGACAGGTGATTGTCTGAGGGGCCACAGCCATGCTCTGCATGGGAGAACAAGGACAGTGGATGAAGGCAACTGAGGGACTTCTCAGACCACCATTTTTGCTCAAACAGGCCTCCCAATAAACTTCAAAGCAATGACATCTACCTAAATAGGGACCCCAGCTGTGTCATGACTTAAGAATGATGATGGTATCTTTAAAAGAAATCTTTTTCATTTCACATTGGCAATGCTTGCTGCACTCTTAAGTAATCTGATTGCATCTTAGGGACCTGTAGTAACGTCTCCAATTGTACAGCCAAAGTCAAATGCGGCGCATATAAAGAAATCCATAGTTCCCCAGGACCCAGCCCCTTGCCATGGCGAAGAGAAGGGCTCCCATAAGGAGGGCACTGAGGTTGTGTAGGGTCAATTCTCAAGGTCTTCCTGAAGGAGGTGCCCAGGGAAGAAGCAGAATCCAGGAGTCCAGAGCCACACAGTCAAGGCTCTCAGGAGCTGGGAGGAGCTGGAAAGGATAATTCCAAGAGCTTTAATTACTTCTTTCCCACAGCCACCCTGCCCCACCCAAACCCTTCAACCTCTGCCTCCAGAGGGGCCACAGTGGAGAGAAGGTGCAGGAAGCAGTGTTACAGAATGGGGCTCCACTGGCTCTGGAGGCAGAGGTTCCCTTGGGCCTTTGTCCTTGGCTAGGATCCCCACTGGTCTGAGCAGCTAGAATGGAATGTTCCTGGGACAAAAAGCCTGCCCCTCCTCCACCTCTCCCCTTATGGAGTTCCCCAGGGCCCTCTCCAGGGAAGCCTGATATGGAGATGCTCTAGAGGAGCAAAGACCCACGCTGCCTGGGGGGTGTCCTGGCAGCCTCTCCTTGCCCAAGCGGATTGATTCTATCATTTACAGAGCTCCACTATGCACTAAGCACTTAGTGGGACTACTCATTTAATTCTCAGAAGTTATCTCCTCCCTAGCTCGTCTCAAAAGTACAAAACAAAAACACAAACAGAAGAAACTGGCTCAGAAAAGGGAAGTCATTTCCCAAGTTCCCTCAGCTGAGAGGTTCCAAGCTAGGATTGAATCCCAGGCCTGTCATGTTCCACCTGGGACCCTTTCTGCTCCCACCATGGAGGAGCGTGTCACCCTCCTCCTCTGCCACCCCAGGCTCTTTGCTCTACTTGGTACTAAACTTTCCAGCCCAGATGTGCAGAGAGAGGAGACAGCCCTCCAAGGAAGCCCTTGGGATGCCTGAGCCCTGAGCATCTTTGGCCCACCCTCGCCAGAAGCCAAGTGTGCTGACTCAGACTGACTCACCCCCCAGGGCCCAGACAACCAGGCTGGGGTGTGCCCAGACTCTGGGGGGATGGGAGCACCTTCTCCCATGACATCCCATCACATCCCTCCCCAGAGCCGACTAAAGGTCACTATACACACAGCCTTGAAGGTGGGAGCCCAGAAATCTCCCCATTTGGATCCCTCATTAGCCTGATGAACGAATCACCGCATAGCCTGATGCTTAAGGGATCTCCCACTTACAGGTTCTATCTATGTCTTTGGGCAAGTCACTTGCCTTCCCTGTTTCCTCATGTGTGGAAATGGGGATAATAACCCTTACTTTGCACAGTGGTTGGGAGGACTGAGCCAGATAATGGGTGTGAAGTGCTTAGCACAGCACCAGGCATAGAGGAGGTGGTTAATTAATATATTATGCCAGAACTAAAGGTTCCCCTCCCCCATAATTCCCGGCCAGGGTGCGGTCAAGGACTAATTGGGAAAAAACAGGTTGGGGATCTTCAGATTTTCCCAAATCCTCCCTCCCTGCTGGCCACTAAGGCAGGGAGCCTCTCCTTCAGCTCTGAGAAGCCTGGGCACTTGAGTTCATCTAGAGGAATTCAGCTGAAAGGGTCAGGGAAGGGCATCCTCCCAGACACTGCCCACTGCAAGCTTGGAGCACCTTGGCCATGTCCTATCACTTCAGCCTAATCTCTAGGATGTAACCTTGGTCTCCACTGGCAGCAGACCTGGTGTCCTGATCAATTAGGTGTAACAAATCTGTGAATAGAGAAATGACTCTAGTCTTTTACTGCCGGTGACTGGCAGCAAGGGCAACCTCTCCTCTTCCTGATGGACCTTCTCCCTGGGGTCCAGAGCTTAGCCCTGCTGAAGGGGCCTCCTTTGCTCCCCTTTCCAAGTGGACCCCAGTCCCTAAGGAGCCAGTGATGGGCACAGCTCAGGCCTCCAATCCAGCCCTAACTAAGAAGCCATCACTGGAGCCACACCCCACCCTCAGGCCACGCTGACCTACCACACTTCCAGATTCCTACAGCTCAAGGCCTAGGAAGTCTGGGGAATACTGGGAAGGGGGATGATTGAGGGCAGGGACAATGGAAACCGAACCTGCTCCAGGACACGCCCCCATGTGTCAAGGAGCAGCTTCGCACTGCCCTCTGGTGGCATTGTCCTCATACAGTTATCCGGGTGAGGGGCAGGTTCCAGACTAGAACCCTGAACTGGTTTCTCAGAACTGGTCTCCCAACCCTGGGGCGCCACCCTAAAGAAAGGCTCCTGTTCCTCTCATATCTCTTTGTTGAGATCCCAGATTCACTGGAATGCACAGGTCCCCCAAGATCCCTGTACTCAGTCCAGTCCCCAGAGCTGGAGGGCATCAAGAAAGTGTTCCAGAAGTCATGGGGGGAAATGGGGCAATGACAGTCCCCTGCCCAGGGGCTAGAGTTCTTATTGCAGGCCTAAAAATAGCCCTCCAACACCACAAACTACCCAGTCCCCAGGGGGTCCCCTAGGATGGTGACAGTCAGGGAAGCCTGCCTGGAGGAGGGCTGGGAGACATAAGCCCTTAAAAGCAGAGGGGCCCTCTGATTCAGCTCTGCTTCCTGAGCCCCTGAACTGAGTCGCTATCAATGTTTGTTGAATGAAGAGAAAATGGAGCCAGGCTGGAGAGCTTCTAGAGGGGGGCTCTGGGTGAGCCAAACAGGTGTGAGAAGGTAACCTTTGTTAGGTGGCTGAGGGGTGGTAGACGCAGCACTGATCAGAACTGGAGATTCAAGTCTGTGAGTGCTGTGTGCCTTGGCCAAGGCCCTTGGTGAGGAGCAGTGGGACATCTGGAAGTGGAGGAAGGGGACACAGCTGCCACCAGGACCAATCTCCATTTGCCCCCACACAAACATCATTTCTCTAGCCAGTGTCATCTCTAATTCTCTACCCACCCCACCCCCAAATCAGGGCAAAGCTGATTACCTATAAATCCCGGAGAAATGCAAAACCATGACGATGCAGAGCACTTTACACCATTAGCTAAAAGCTTCTGTGGACAAAGTGCCCCCTCCCGTGCAACCCAGAAAACAGACCTGGCTGCAGCCCAGCACTGCAGTCTGAGCTCCTCTCTGTGTCACCTCTAGGAAGTCCCTATCCTCTCTGAGCCACTATACCCCAAATGACCCCAAATGACAGGGCAGATCTTTGGAAGATCTGCCCTGTCTGGGGAGGCCAGAGGATGCCAGCCCCGCATACATACACACAAATGACTCCCCTGGTCCCCAACCTTTTCCAGAGGCCCCAAAGACTTCCTCCTAGTCCCTTCCCCAGCTAAGAATGGGTTCAGGAAGGCCTGGCTGTTAGCTGAGAAACCAGCCAAAAAGTTTGGTACCCAGTGAGAGGAAGGGCTGATGGGGGAGGATCAGGTGAGGGCCCTGGGGCTCAGCCTGTCAGACCAGTATCCCTGACCCTCAGAACTCATTGGATTAAACCAGATTCTCATGACTCTGACATTATCATCCTCCCCGCTCATCCCATTCCCAAGCCCTGATATAAAGGACTGAGGAAACAGGCCCAGAGAGGGGGCGGAATTGTTCTAGGTCACACAGCAGACAGGGGCCAGAGACCAGCTGTCCCTAGTCCCCACCCAGGACACTGTGGGAGGGGCACACACAGATCTGGGTCTGTCCCTTATACTGGCATGTGACCTTGAGAAATCCTCTCTCCACTCTGTAAAATGAGAACTTTAAATTAGTTCTGGGTCTATCAGTAAAAGCAGTGCCTGTTTCTAGGTGTGACTGAAAAGAATAAAATATCTTTCCATGACTTACGAGGGAATAAGACAGACTTCTGCCTGGCGTTAACCTCACCACAGCCCTTCTGGGAGGTGATGAGATCCACTTCACAGACTGACAGGGCTGCAGCTAACTCAGACGCTGAGCAGCAATGCAGCAGCCAGGTCATTCATAGCTGAGTGGGGACAGAGGAATGGGGGGGCTGAAGGGCATTTGTACAGGAAGAGAAACAGATCTCATCCCACGTCTGGCCCTTTAAGGCCTCCCTTTCTGGAAGCCAATAATATACCTGCCCTCTTGGGGCCTGTTAAAGGGTGTCACCTGGTTCCACCCCTGGCAGAGCCATCTTAGAGACAGGCTGGGGGTGGGGCCCTAGGTGAGCAGGTGCCAAACACCCCGTCCTGGTTATCTGCGTCAGTCTTAGCGCAGCTGCATGAGGGCATGAGAAAAGGTCTGCCTCCTATAAACAGATGGGCCTAAATATGATGGGTACAAATCCTCTATTTCTCTGGGATTCTGTCTCCTCAAAGGGGAAACAGGGACCTAGAGGAGGAGAACTCAGTCACAGAGCCCTGTGCCAGCCCCTACACCATCTTGGAACCTCATTTTTCTGCCCCCCCCACCCCCGCAAAGGTATGGAGTTGAGTGGTACCCAAGAAAGCAGGAGCCCCAAGGGACCCGGGAAAGACAAGGTAAATGGGGGAGAGAATGGGGTTGCTGCATCAGTACCGCACGCTCCAGGTGGTAAAAGTTTGCCACCAAGCCCCTCTGAGCAACCTCAGTTTGTCCAACTCTATAATGGAGACTTGGTGCTGCCACCTCGCTCCCCAGGTGGCCTGTGGGAAGCAGACAGTTTTATTAGGGACCCAGCAGACGCCAGGAGCCCCAGGGAAGGGAGGGCCTGGGCCCTGTACCCCCACCCCCACCACGTCCCTCAAGTGTACTAGCCGCTAAGACCGCACCTCAGCCTCCTTTTTAGGGACCCTGGCCCCCCGACTGTCTCTTCCTGCAGGTCAGTCTGCCCATCCGTGCAGGTGACGCCGTCCATCCGGCCGGCATCCGCAATCTGTGATCCCCACCTTGGCGATGGGCCTGTCCGGGGTGGCCAGGGATCCGGGCGTGGAGGTCAGCGCTGGGGAGAGGCGGGGCCGCGGGGCGGGCTGCGGCGGAAGGGCGACTCGGGCTCCGGGCCGTGGCCTCGCCTCAGGCGCCCGGCGCCCCAGGGCACGCAGCTACCCAGGCCGAGCGCCGAGGCCAGCAGCGCGGGTGGGCGGCCGCGGCGGCCGCGGCGCTGGCCCTTCTTGAGGCGCGACCCGTGTGTCGCTAGGTAGAGCTCGGCCTGCGCCACGCCGCCGCTCAGGCGGCCCAGGCTCTCGGCGCGATGAGCCAGGCGCAGCTCGGCAGCCAGGAAAACACGGTGCAGCTGCAGCACGCGGCTCTCCAGCTCCGACACCAGGCGCCGGCGGCCCTCCACCTCCAGCAGCCGCCGCCGCGCTTCGGCCAGCTCCAGCGCGCGGCCACCGGCCCCCGCCGCCGCGCCCGAGCCGCCGCCCGAGCCCCCGCTGGGCCCGGTGGCCCCCGCGCCCCCGCTAGCGCCCTGGCGCCAGCGCTGCAGCTCCTGCCCGTCAGCCACACCTGCAGACGCCCTGGCCGCCTCGGGCAGCGGCGGGGCCTGGACCGGGGTCGGGGTCAAGGTCGGAGTTGGGGGCGGGGGCTGAGGGGATGGCTGGGGCTCCCGCGGCGGCTGCGGCGGGGACCCCGGTTCTGCCGTCCCTTCCTGGGCCCCGGGGCCGCAGGCGCTGATGCGGCAGCCCGGCATCCCCCGCCCCCCGGCGGTTTGCGGCTTCGGGTTCGCGGGGAGGATGGACGCTGCACACCTGAGGAGAAAGGCGACCGCGGTCCCCACGCCCGCGCCGCACCCGTCGCTCCGAGACTTATAGAGCACGGGGCGGAGCAGCAGACAGCACGGCCAATCAGAGGCTGGCATGCACTGGTCCCGCCTCCCCCGCCGCGCGCGTTCGGGCCATTCCCTAACCTGTCAGGTCCCTGTCCTTGGTCCGGCTCTGCCCTGTTAGAGCCTGCGGTCCCCATCCTCCTCTCCCCAAGTTTTGAGTGGAAAGGGGGCCGCACCTTCCCTGATCTGGCCCTTTGGAGTGATAATCTCTGGTAGCTGAGATTTAGAAATCATGGAATCCAGTCTCCACCCGGGGGACCGATTTGCCTGAGGCCCCTCTGTGTGGCCGTGAAGCCTGGGCTAGAGCTCAGGAGGCTTGACTCCCTCCCGTACCTCTCGCTGGCCTTCGGTGAAATCGGTTCTGCCTGGTCTCCTGGGCCACAGGACTCGCCAGGACCCCTTTCTCCCATGTCCCCATGTAGCTAGGGCAAAGCCGATGGGATGGGAATCTGGCTGGGCTGATTCCACGCTGAGTAGTCCCTTCCTTTGCAGGACAAACGCCACACCACTGCCGCTGAGCCCTAAAACCTTAGTGGCCCCATAGAGGAGCCCAGAACCCCACAGTGTGCAAAGTTTCTTCCCCGTTCCTGTTTCTGTTTGCTTCTCCTAGCAGGTGTTCCCACACCTTTCATTCAGAGGGGGAAACTGAGACACAGAAGGTGCAGTGGTACCTTGCCCAAATGTCACATTGCCAGTTGGGGTCTGAATCTGGACAGAAATGCACCAGCTCAGCCATTCATGACCTCTTGGCGGGGAGCTCAGATACCTGGGTCTCCTTCTCATGGCAAAATGATAGGACTGAGCCTGCCTACTTTCCCCTCAACAGAAGTGACCCTGCCATACCCCTTCCAAACACCGGCCCACACACTGTGGGCCTGCTTTGAAGGTGCCATCAGAAATGGGAGGTCTCTGTGGGGGTCAGAGGCAAAGGAAGGAGGGCCAGAAACCAGCTGTGAAGCCAATTGGGAAGGACTGCAGCAGACCCTGGGCTCCTGGAGGACCTGCCAAAGGTGTAGCCCATATGACAACTGCCTGAAGAGGAGGCAGATGGTGGAGCTGCACTGGCTTCATGATGAGGAGAAGGAGTAGGAGGACTGATCCTCATCCTCCTCCCTCCACACGGTCTCTAAGTGCTTTCACGTGCCCTACATTGAGTGAGACTGAGTGATGGGGACTCATGGACGGGGCAACTTGGCTCCAGAGAGGCAGCTCAGAAGGGGATCAGAGAGGAAGGTGGGTGGGAGGATGAGAGGTGCTAGGCTCAGAGAAGAAGAAGGGAGAGGACTCAGGGAGAGGATGGAGAGGGGCTTGGGGAATGACTGGAGGAGAGGTCTCCACAAGGGAAGGAAGGGCCATCAGCGAGTGTGATGGGACTCAGTGAGGGGGGAGGAGTTTAGTGGGTGCCAAGGTGCTGGAGGCTCATAGTGGGGGAAGGGAGGATCAGGGAGGGGCAGGGGGATTCAAGGAACCAGAGGGACTCAGTAAGGATGAGGGAGGCTCAGGAGGTAAGGAGGATCACCATGCTGAATTGTGGCATCCCTTTGAATGGTCTCCTTTGTGTCATGCAACCTTGGGTTTCAGTGCAGACCCCCACCCCCACCCCGCCACCATCATGTGGGGAGATTAGCAGGCATTTTGCCTACATCAGGCAGATCATTGTTCCCAGCTCCCAGGGGACTAGGTCAAGGGGAAGAAGACCAGGACTTACTCCCAGCCCCACCATTGGCCAGATCCACAGATCCAGTCAGACCTCCATTCAAAACCCAGGCACACTGCCCATCTGGGTGACCTTGGGCAAGTAATTTCTCTGAGTGGCAGGAGGTGTTCAACGTATATTTATCGAATGAATGGATGTTCTCTATTTCCTTACATTGTCTCTAAGAGAGGGAGATAAGCAGTTTTTTCTTCCTGATGAGAAACCAAAGCCTAGAGGAGGTCACACAGCAAGTAAGTGGCCAAGCAAGTATTCAAACACAGATCTGACCTACCCCAAAGTCACCCCTCACCTCCCTGTTATGTTCTGACAATGTTCCCTGTTCCACTAGAGTCCTCAGAGTTAAGTAGAGTGCCTGGCCCCATAAAGCACTCAATAAACATTTATTTGAATTCAAAAATTACACAAAGATAGAACTTGCTGAGGATGGAGAAGCCCCCTTCCCCATTCATTCATTCTTTATTTCACTCATTCAACAACTACTCATCACCTCCTCTGCCGTGCTCGCTGCTGGAGTACAGCGATGATCAGATGGGCCCTGCCCTTGTTGAGTCTGGAAGGACACAGACAGGTGATGGTGGCAGGTCCAGCCGGGTGGGGAGGGGATCAGGCAGGGTTTCCTATAGGAGGTGATATTTAAACTGAGACCTGAAAGATAGATCAAAGTGAGCAATGCAGAGATGGTGGGGGAAGGGAGGATTCCAGATGGAAATGCCATGTACAAGGACCAGAGGTGAGAGAGGTTTGGCATCTGCCAGCTCTCCTTAACTGGCCTAACCTCTACACTCCCAGAGTGGGCAAGGGCCACAGCCAACCTTCTTCTTTTTTTTTTTTGAGACAGAGTCTGGCTTTGTTGCCCAGGCTAGAGTGAGTGCCGTGGCATCAGCCTAGCTCATAGCAACCTCAAACTCCTGGGTTCAAGCAATCCTGCTGCCTCAGCCTCCCAAGTAGCTGGGACTACAGGCATGCACCACCATGCCCGGCTAAGTTTTTCTATATATATTAGTTGGCCAATTAATTTCTTTCTACTTATAGTAGAGACGGGGTCTCACTCTTGCTCAGGCTGATTTCGAACTCCTGACCTTGAGCAATCCACCCGCCTTAGCCTCCCAGAGTGCTAGGATTACAGGTGTGAGCCACCGCGCCCGGCTAATGATTTTTAAACTATAAAGATTTTTGTAGTTTTCTGATCTTTTATATTTTTTAAAATTGAAAAAAAACTAGGCCAGTGTGATGGCTCACACCTGTAATCCTAGCACTCTGGGAGGCCAAGGCAGGAAAATCCCTTGAGCTCAGGAGTTCGAGACTAGCCTCAGCAAGAGCAAGACCCCATCTATACTAAAAAATAGAAAAAATTAGCCAGGCGTGGTGGTGAGCATCAGAGAAATGCAAATCAAAACCACAATGAGATACTACCTCACACTATTACAATGGCTTCTATTAAAATATCAAAATAGGCCAGGTGCAGTGGCTCATGCCTGTAGTCCCAGCTACTTGGGAGGCTGAGGCAGCAGGATCCCTTGAACGCAGGAATTTAAGATTGCAGTTAGCTAGGCTGATGCTATGGCACTCTAGCCCAGGCAACAGAGCAAGATTCTGTCTCAAAAAAAAAAAAATTGAAAAGCTTTTTTTTCTGATTTCTATAAAAATTATAAAGTATATGCCTTTTGTAGAAAATCTAGTAAACTATACAAAAAGCATCCTGGGCAATAGAGAGAGGAAAGGGGCCTGAAAATCAGAGAGGTTTGTGTATGAATCAGAGTTCAGTCCTTCCCTAGCTCTGCAACCCTGAGAAAGTTACCTTTCTTCTCTGTACTCTAAGGGCCTTATCTGAGAAATGGAACTGCTAATATCTATGGCATGGACAAGGACACCCATAGGTGCAAGAATTTGCCAAAATCTCACAAGCTGGTCATATCTATCTGACTTGAAACCTGTGGTCTGAATTGGAGACCCTGAAAGAGAAAAGGCAGCCCAGAGAGGAACAGGTTCCAGAGTCTGGTCCAGTCTGTATCCACCCCCTGCCAAGACAGCAGCCAGCAGACAGCCTTGCAGAAGGGGTGGCGAGTGTGGCTGTGGCCCAAGCAGGATCCCCTCCGGCCCACTGAATGTGGCGTGGGGCAAGAGGTCCAGGCCTGAGAAGTGCACTTCCATCCCGGCCTAGATCTGAGGCCTCTGCTAAGAGATCTAACTCCTCCCTTTCAGTCTCTCCCAGGCAACCTGGCCTGGCACCCTCTAGGATGTGATCTCAGTTTAATAATTTAGCAGATGCAGACAAAGATAGCAGCTCTGAAAATAACCCTGTCAGGCCCCAGCCTCCATCTCTCCTTTCCACAACAGACTCCCCCGCCCTCCCCCCAAGGTCTCTGGTTGCCCTACACCTGCCCGTGCCCTGCCTGCCAGTGAGCCCCTGATTCCACACCTCCTCATCCTCCTAGCCCTTCTCCTCCTTCTGCTTTCTTCTCTTCACCTTCCCTTTTTCTTTATTCTCATGTTAAGAGGTTTTACATCATTACATCACTAGGGCTTAAAGGAATCTTTCCTAGAAGCCAGAAGATTTGGGTTTCCTTCACTGTGTGGACTCAAGCAAAGTCCCTCTCCTCTCTGAGCCTCTGTCTCTGCATTTGTAAAATGAGGACTCTGGATTCCTAAATGTGGCATGAACAAAATAGGGGGAGGGGAGCACAATTACTTGGACAGGGGACTGGATGTCTTCCCCAGGAAGGCACAACTGCAGTGTCAATGTCACCTCAGTCTTTAGCACTATAATTTATCCTACTGTTCCATAGAGAGAGCTCAGGTTTTCTTTATTCTTAATTTCTCCTGTGATGAAATGTTTGCCCTAGTTATTATTCCTAAAAGGCTGTGACTTGTGTTCACAATGGAGGTAACAGGTTCCATGTGTTTTTGATGCTTCATCTTTTTTTTTTTTTTTTTTTTTTTGCAGTTTTCATGGTTTGACTTAGACACAAATAAAACATACACATGGACTGTCTATTCATTTTCTTCAGTGCACAACGTAGAGTTGGGATTGGTGACTGTGGTGGCCAGCTGGGCTATGCTTTCCAGGATGGCTTTGTGCTTCTTGGAGGAAACACTGTGAACAATCTCAGCACAGTAAAATGTGACACACACCAGCAGCACTTCCAGTTCCTGGACCTTGTGAACCAGGAACTTCCAGGAGCCACTGGGCAGCATGTGCTGTGTGTTCTTATTGATGCCATAACCGATATTAGGCACTA